TTAACTAAGAGGGGCCCGCGAGTAGGAGGTGGAGGAGTGGCGCACTTTCAGCAGCAGTTGCGGCCTACCACTTTAGTCACAATAAAATACTACTAAGTAAATACAATCGGCCGCTGTGGTGTAGTGGTAAGCAGTGCGCGCTTTCACTCATCAGCACCTGGGTTCAAGCCCTGGTCAGAGACACATCACAAAAAATATAGAAAAAGGTTTTTTCTTAACAGCGGTCGTCCCTCGGCAGGCAATGGCAAACCTCCGAGTGTATTTCTGCCATGAAAAAACAGCTTCTCATAAAAATACAATCGCCGTTCGGAGTCGGCGTAAAACTGTAGGTCCTTCCGCTTTGTGTGACAACATCAAGGCGCACGCCACAAGTCGGAGGAGAAGCTCGGCCAAACACTAACATATGTGTAAGCGCCAATCTATTATTATTATTAAATGAATACAATGCACACACAAGCAGTGCAAAAGCATGCAAGCGTCGATGTATGTACATATGTATGTGTGTCCCTGTGTCAAAAATTAGCGCGGTTGCGTTGGTGGCGGCGCATTTGTTATTATTTGTTGGTTCATTGAACTCTCAATATGTCAACGCTGCGTCACCAATGTTGTCTGCCTTCACAATTGCCAACCCCCACAAGTGTCGGCTACAACAATCAGTACTGTGAGCGATGAATCGACAGTTGTGTGTGTGTGTGTGTGTGTGCGAAAATGTGGCAGCTTAAACTACAAAATGTGGCGCATAAATAGTGAACATTTGGCTGTTGTTTTTGTTATTGCACTGATTATGTCACACATTTTATGTTGTGGCGCGAGTCGAAGCAAAAACAATGCACTGCTCTAACAATACAACTAACAACAATTGCATTGATAGATACAACAAAAAACAAAAAACAACGCAATTTTTTCAAATACGTATGAGCATACATATGTAGATACATTAGATTGTACCAGAAAAAGACAATTTCGCTGTACGCTCCTGAGTCTAAATTTTTTTTGCAAGGCAATTTCGATTTTTTGTTTTTTGGGATCGGACCGACAAAATACCCCTACGATCCCTAATTTTTTCGTTGTTTTTTTCATTTTCTTGTCGATTTTCAGTAATATTTTCCCGACAATTTTTTTTTTCCAAAGTTCATTGATCTCAAATAACCGGTTTTAGTACTTACTCATCATATCTCAAACCCTACCACCCTAATGCCAGTAAATTAAAGCTCTACAAAAATCATTAAGCTTTTGCTAGGAACGTTTTTTGGTTTTTTGATCATTCCAATAGAATTCTCTAGACGAATTTTTTTATTGCCAAACGTAGATGTCATCGAAAAATTAAAAAAAGCGGCCCGTAGATCGGCACTTTTTTTTTTTTAAATTACCTTGCAAAAATACACTTTTTTGTTTGCTCTTGAGGTGGCACGGTCTAATGTACATGCATTAGTATTGATGTATGTATATAAATGCTATGTATAGACAAACAAACATGCATATGTATATACATATGTGGCTGCATTAGCGGCCGCGATAATCAATTGTTGGTGTGTGCCCCTGTGGCGCTGTTGCTGACATATCGCAGCTCCTCCACAAGTTCCAAGCAAATTCACATACATTCTTACAAACATACATACATATCTGATTTAGTGTTTGCCTCTGGGTTTCTGATGCTACAAATACTACACTCCCTTCATATCACTGATATAGTGCGTACACACATGGTTTTTAAAGTATAAATAGCATTTAGCACATAACCTTATGTATGTATGTATGTAAGCTCAACCGATTTCCAGACAACGTTATTAGTATTGTCGATATCAGTGGCCACAATATGGTGCGACAAGTATTTTTTTTTTGAGCAGGACTCAGATCCGAGTTACATCTAATAAAGTGTTTTACAAATAGCTATTTGATCGTTCTTAGAAGTTATAGATAATGTGACACAAATATGCACATATATGCATTCTATAGAAGGCCGATCACCTCCAGAAAAAATCCGCTATATTTATGTACTGTGTTCATCCTCCATGCAAGTGTACACAGTGTGTCGACGATGATTTTAAATTTTATTATTTGTAAAAAACGAACGTATTTTTTAATTTCTTTTATTTTTGGGAACTTATTTAATATTTTTTTTTTAATACTCTTTTTCTTTTCTCACTTTAATTTTCTTTTAATGTTTATAGTTTTGTTTTTAAAATACACATATGTTCATGCATATCTATTTTTTCGACTGCATTTAATTTTTAGACACGATTTGGACGAAACAAGGTTAGACTGCTCAGACAGCGAACTTTTTCTTTTTTTAATTAAATTTTCTTAATTTTCAGATTTTATTGTTTTAGAAAAATATAAATGTATGTGTTTTTTTAGTTCATCAAATTTTTAGAAAACGTATTCAAGTTTTAATTTTTTAAATTTAAGTTTTTTTTTTTTTGCAAAACGTTTTTTATTTTTTAGTTTCTTTTTATTTTTAAAAATTTATATTTTTTCTTCCTTTTTTATAGTTTTTTTTTATTTATTCATTTGTTTCTTTTGTTTTTAATTCAATATTCTTTAAATTTTTAGATGTTATTGTTTTAAAAAGAAACATAATTTTGAATATCATTTAATTTTTGGAAACTTATTTTATATATATTTTTCTTTTTTATTATAATTTTTTTAATTTTAAGTTTATAATGTTTTAAAACGAAAAATGTATACATAGAACTTAGTGCTTAAAGTGAAACAAAATAACGTTAAGATCTACTCGTTAGCAGATCTTTCAATCAGTCTTTCGAAAGATAGAAAGGAGCTGTTTCGGAATTTTAAATGAGCTCGTTATGAGCGAAAAGTCTATGAATTCGGGTTCCTTAATGGATGTTATTTAGCTTTAAAATATCCAATACATACTTAACATCGCACTTTTAATCCCTGAATACAGGATAAAGGTTAACTGGGTCATTAGCAACCAAATTATTTTTTTTTTTAAACTTCAGCTTACTGACAGTTTCTAATTATAAAACCAATGTAATTTCATTATTCGTTCGCTTGAACACTTAATTGCCGATATATGTATGTACGTATGTAAGTAGTATCCTAAGTTTGTTGCTCCCAAAGCGACAGCTGCCGAATTCCAAATTTATAAATATAACTTTGGAAAGTAGCGAGTTTGATGTTACTCGCCCACGCACAATGCACAAAAGTACTTTCATAAATATTTACTGGCACCATTTGTTTATCTGGACATGATTATATACATAAGTATATATGTATGTATGTGCATATAATCCAACATACATACACAATATGTATTTTTACTCACGTTTTATTTTTACTTCCGCAACACGCGCACTTTCTTGAATTGTAGCAGCAGCGCATGCGCCTCGTCGTACACACATACATACATACATACATGTACATATGTGTTTATGTGTAGGTATGTATGTGCCGATGGGAGTTGCTCGCTAACAGAATGGAGTTCAAACTTCATTTAAGCTTTAAATTAGTAGCTATTTTGAGGGCGAAGACAGCCCCATCAAATCGCTGCGTAAATTGTGGGTGCTGTCAGTCACACACTGACACTCACGTGAGCGTGGATCTTCAACTTTGCCTCGGCGGCTATTATTAAATTTGACGATAACCTACAGTGCTCTGCCTCTCTGCTCTGTTATCGTCACCTCATCGTCTTGTCTCTCGTCTCATCGCATGCCAAGACAATTGCTGGGAAATTTATTTATTTGTCTTGTCGCTCGTGTGTCTACATCACGTTTCGTACACATGACTCGTTTAAATGTTACTCCAGATGTTTTTTTTTTAGCTACAATTGTGCCATTGTTTTATGTTTGAATAAGATTTTCGTGTATTTTATTACTTATGCATTTCTTGTTTTCTCGCCGACTTTTTACTAACAATTATGTATGTATGTATGTATAGTTGTAGGAGTTTTTTTTTTAAATTATGAAATACGCGGCTGCTTGAAGTGGGGGAATTTTTATGTACATACATACATATCTTCCGGCTTCCCACTTACGTCATGATTTCTGTGCACCTTTGTTTTTGATATTTGGCTTTGCAATTAGATTTGTCCACTTTCACAAATAGTCATGCCACTCAACCAAATTTCGTTTTAATTTATAAAATATCACTATTTTGATGTAACACACAAAAAAAAGGAAATAAGTAGTTAATAAAAGAAGTTGTAAGAAACTACTCAACATCTTCAAAGTAGCACAAAAATTTATATTTTGCCGTTGTTTTCGATTTCCTTCCACTTCGTAAAGTTTCGTGTTATTAACCCTTAACCGTCAACCGTCAACATTGGAGAGCCGTCGACGTGGATGCCTAATTGCAACAGACCTAATTTGTTCAAGTATTCAAAAGAGTGAGAAAGATCGATAAGATAGCCGCTTAAGAACAACTAGTGAACCCGCATGGCTTTAAAACGCCCAAAATTTAATTTTAAAAACCTACAAAATATTCCAAATGTTAGCCAGAATTATAAGCGAACCAAGTGCGATATTCCATTTAATTACACGCAGATATTTCTCAGTGAAGTGTCACCAAATTTCAAATCACCTTGCACTGATAAAAAACGTTCTAGCTTCAATAAATAAAACTCTATCGCACGTCTTCATTTAAAATGCCTAATAAAGGATATTTCAAAACTGAAGTTTTTATAACTCTCTTTCGATTGACACCCATATTTTAATATTCCGTAAAATTTGACTTTTCAAACAGGTGGAAATTCTTTTCAAAGTATAGACACTTGGCAACCCTCTTCGAACATTGCAAATGTTCAAACAAAAGAGTTCTCAACACTCTTTCGATTGACACCTTTATTTTTATATTGTGTGTAAGTTAACTAATTTCGAACTTTTAAACAGGCTATAACCCTCTTCAAAAGTATTTTTGAGCTAAGGCCATATTGACACTCCTTCGTGTGACATTGCAATACATATTTTAGTTAACTCTTGAATTAAGGTCTATCGGATCTAAACTAAATTAATATGGGACCACCTTTCCGATAGAAAAAGAATTGTCGAAATCGGTTGACGTGATTCAAAGTTATGCGGTAACATACACAAAAAAATATTCTGACGAATTGGTAACCTTATAATTTTTTTGAAGTCGGTTAAAAAATATAAGTTACGACTTTTTCCATTTCAGTGGCGGATTTTTGCATTTCAGGTGACGATATGTACATAGCGGCCATGAGATTTTCATTGAAATTTTATTTTGAGTGAACTTGCATGCCAGATTGTTAAGATCAAGGTGGAAATTAAATCTGAAATAATTTCCACGGGCTCATGTATTTAAGTTATATCCATAGTAGCCGTAATGGTCAAAGTCATAACTTCTAAAGTCACTTAAGTTGTCCTAATAAAATGCCACAAATATTAACAAATTCTCTTTTACTAAAACATTTTTAATAGCAAAGAAAAATCATTTCACCCTAATAGACAAATTAAGAAAATTACTCATGCATCTAAAAAAAAAGAGGCTCTCACATATTTGTTTAAACAACCCATTTTATTTGCGCTAAAATTTCCTATTGTTATGCATAATTTCAATTCTCAGACTTAATAACCCGTCTTAATTTTTGTTTTTTTGTTTTTTTTTTGTTAAGTTTGCGTAAATGTAAAATTAGCAGCTTATCTTTGGCATCTTAGGAAAAACGCGATGTGACGCACTGAAGCCTTTCAAGAACCGCCAAACAAAAGCTAAAGATAGGGTAGGTAACATGTCGCTCTCATCCAAAGCATTGGCAGCGGTGTAACACCCAAAACACCACCATCAACACCGGTGTGGCAGCCAATGTTAATGGCAGCGTTGATGCGGCGGGTGTGTTGACTGACACTGACATTGCCTTGCGCATTGTTTCACGGCTATTCACGGTTTCGGCCAACTACATAACTAAATAGTACCTACTAGCTAACCTCGCCGCCGAATCGACTGTTCGACTGACTGACTGGCTGACTGCTCTACTTAATGGCGTT